ATAATTGGTAAATTTATATATTTTATCCATATATATGAAAACAATTCTACAGTGCCCCCCTCAATTTTGTAGTTCCTAAAATTTTATTTTTATTTTCTCTTTTACTCTTCCAATTCCTTAAATTTCCTTAATAGATAAAGTCAAAATTTCCTCAATAGATAAAGTAAAAAATTTCCAAAATAGCCTGATATTTCACAATTACGGTTGGATTTGTGTTAAAAAATATGAACCCATATATAATTGGTGTTAGCCTGGCTCCCTTCTACGCATCGTCTGGGTTTTGACCTTCATTTGGAGAGGATATGGGAGATGGAGGAAGGAGCTCATTCATTTCGGCATAGTTGTGCTTGGTTTCCAGCTCTGCTAAATGACGTTCCACCCAGAGCAATTCTTTCTCCATCCTCTGCATCTTCTTAATGACACGGGTCAGCTTACCCATCACAGTATTCAGAAAGTTTGGATGGTTCATATCTAACTCATCAGTCTCATCTGTGCTTGTTTGAGGATGGGGGACTGGTGATGGAGGAGATGGGTTAGGTTTCCTTTCCATCTTGGTTGTGCCTGTGGTTAGACAAAGTGTGGATAGTTAGGTTTTATAGGGTGGAAATGTAACTACCATATCTAACCATACATAAATGCATTTAGAGATGCATCTGAGAGGTTTGTGTGGCTGAAGGAGAGATGCACCTGCAATCAATTACTTGTTCGTCAAAAAAGAGTGGAAATGCTGCATTCAATTACTTATTCGGCCAAAAAGAGATGCAGCTGCATTGCATTAATAACTAAGATATTTGTGTAAAACAAGTATACTTAATGAAGTTGTTGGGTATAAATGAGAAGTTAATAGTGGCCAACTACTAATTTATTCAGTTTACTGAATATATCCAAGGGAGCTTCTTGCAACCCGAGAAATATTCTAAGGCATAAAATTGCAACTCGAGAAGTTGGTGAGTTTTCCTATCTTAACTATACTTTTTATTTATCTTAACTGTGTATATATAATTTATACTTGTCAGTCTGAGCACTGAATTAGTCAGTTTTGTGTACTTTCTTTTCAAACGGCATTCGCGGCATGGTTTCCATTATTGTTCACTATGGTCGGCATATTGGTGAAATCAGAAATGTGAACCCAGAAAATTATGGTTACCTGAAATTTTTAGAAGATTTGTGTGGACTGCCATTCATTCGTGCTATTCCACATCCTTTTGCCATGAACGTATACACTTCTATCCCTGACACACTCGACAGAATGGTGCTCCATAGCGATTCAGATATGGCGACGATATTTCAATTGAAATATCCCAGTAGAACGCTGATTGTTTTCTTTGAAACAGAGGATATAGGTTATCCATTAGCTACCTGCTTTTGACACATGTTTTGTTATGTTATGTAGTTGTGACACATGTTTAAAATATAAATAAAGTTGTGACATATGTTATGTGATGTGGGAATGGATCATCTGCAAAGAAAAATTTACATTTAAAGCATATATGTATATGTATATATATATATATATATATATATAAATAATATATTTATAAAAGGTTAGTGTGAATTCATACCTTAAGGGGTAATGGGACCGCTGAAAAAAAGGAAGGATGTGAACAATTCATATAAGTAAAAAATTAAAATTTATAGAATGAAAATAGTACTACCCAAATATATTTAAAATAAAAAATAAAAAAAAAATTAATAAAAACTACCCAAATATCCATACACAAATTAAATAAGAATTACAAATATTAATGAATAAAGTCCATTGTGATGTGCCGAAAGTCCTCACACAAACCCAATAAAAATGCAGAACTACCCAAATAATCCTTCTATGTGATGTTGCGAAAGACGACCTTGCAAAACCATGATATTTAAATCAATCGAACAACGATTACAATTGATGACATCCTTGTTTATGATCCAACAATGCCAATCAATATGGTTGCCTTCGGGACAACATTTTGGAACATGCGTAAAGAATGACCGATTGCAGACAAAACTCCTCTGAATAATTGTTAACATCTTTCTACGGGCAGACTTGATAGAAGGGCTCAGTATTGAATTTGTCCTCAATAACGTTAACAAATTAATCCCCGCCTCTTTGTCCGCTTCACTGGAAAACAATAATGCAATACACATAGGATAAAGGGACGGGTAACCATTTTTACAGAGGAAAGCCAACCCTATTTTTTCATTGTAAACAATCCAATCAACCTGTGCAAATTTTTTTGCATGTTAGACCTTACAAATAAATAAAGTGTAATGCGTAAAAGAGTACACATGATCTTACTAAACATACCACTCTCCTAATGAACTTTGCAACATGATCCCTAGATTGAAAACATTGTTCCAGGTACATACGTCTTGCTGGGATACTTTCATCTGGTCTATTGCGTGCAAGTAAATCAATTGTTGCAGCGTATCGCCGTAGACCTGTCGTCCATGATCCAGTGCCCAATTCTGTCGTTTCCCTGCATTTTAAATACAAATAACACCCATATTCCTCACTTCAGTAATGAAGACCCATAACCTAATAATGCATGTAAATTGTAAAGTATAAACATAACTCACCATGTATGCTTCTCCACACTATTTGTAAAAGCTATAGCCTCAACTCGTCTAACCACATCTTTAATCGCATTCTGTAGAACAGAATCCATGGCTTTCGAATACATGCACCGACTAGATATAGCGATATAAATAGACACATGAATTAACTGTTTATACTTTGCCTAGGGCAATTAAATAGTCAAAACGTTTCAATATAACAACGGTTAGAAGGGTAAGGTGGAAGTTCCCACGTCTGGATCATTTAAACGTTTTTTTAAAGTTCATTTATATTGTCTAGGTGTACACATGTACATTATAAAATAAATTTTTATCTGAACGATAATTTTTTTTTTTGACTTCTGTTATGAAATAATTCCTACATTATATATAAATTAATTTCGACAACACATATGAAATCATTTTAATGTTATTCCTAGTAATTTAATTAGAATATAAATATTACAATAAAGGTACAACTCTATAAATAACATTTGTTACATCCACTTACATTAGAAGGGTAAGATGGAAGTTCCCACGTCTCAATCATTAATACGTTTTTTAAAGTTCATTTATGTTGTCCAACTGTACACGTGTACATTATTAAATAAAGTTATCTTTTCAAGTTCATTTTTTTTTTGACTTCTGTTACGAAATCATTCCTACAGTACATATAAATTAATTATGATAAAACATATGAAATCGTTCTGATGTTATTCCCACTAATTTAATTGGATAATAACTTTTACAATAAAGGTATAACTCCACAAATTATATTTGTTACATCCACTCACATTATTTCTTTCTACCATGTCTTGGAGGTGGAATTAGAAAGTCATCATCTGCTGGGTCTGAAAAATCGGACATTTCTGAATCTGATTTTAGGTCTGGGTCATTGAAGATGGTGGCCAATTGTTCTGCCATATCTTCGTATGTTTCTTTAGTATGTTTCACTTTCTGGAACTTACGCCATCTCACATATAGTTGCCGGATCTCGCGTTTGATTTGACCAATCACGGAATTCATATTTGATGTACCTGAGAGCTTCATTTCAAGTGAACGGGGTCTTGGAATTGACAGACCTTGTCTTCTACACTCTACCACAATTACACCTCTAGTATTTGTTAACCTATTATACCTAATACGATGTTGTCGCTCACTGTCTGGATCAGGCGGATGTGAAGGTGCACCGCCTTCCACAACTTCAATATCGTCTTCTACCGCACCAATATCCATGTTTAACAGTTCACCATGGAAGTGGGCATTCCATCTACCCAGGGCTTGAACAGCTTGTGCATGAGTTTTGTATGGATAATACCTTGCATCAGTATACCCTAGTGTCTGTGCCTTTGCTTCTGCCAACTTCATATATATACCAATATTCCGGCCCTTCACTACAAGGTAAACTGACGGCCAGCCATTGCTTATACTTTGAAGGGCTGTCAATTTAAAAATGGGATGGGACGACTGCTATGGAGATACAGATGCCCTAAATATAGATCTGAGGCATCGCGTAGGTTGAAAATAATAAGTAGGGTCTTTAATGTTCTAAACAAACCATTCAATTGCAATGAAGGCAAGGAATAAATGGTCAAATATAAAGTGTTCAATATAAAAAGGGAAGTGCAATTCTGACTTAAATACAATATTTTTAACATAACAAATATACTGGAGTAGAAGATATCATGTACAGTGACACCCCTACAATATCTTGACCACTCAGCAAAATAAAGGAAGTGCAACCATGGCAATAAAGAAGAAATCGCGATGAAGTACACTTATTGTACCCTGCTACCATGTTATGGTAATTCCTGGAACCCTTGTTACTCAAATGTAGAATTCATGTTTGGCATTTGGATCATTGGTGAGAAATTTGTGTCACGTACAACATCTACATCAACTCCCTTTTTATATCACATGCATGCAAAAATAGGTCGTTAAATTTCTTAAATAATTTCATAAGTTTAATTAATTTAGATGACATCACATACTTGGTTATTTAATGGAGTCATGGGCTGACCAAAATAAGTAGCTGGACTGTTATCCCAATCGTGGCCCTGTGTTGAACATGTTGGCATATAACATTCATCGGAGCAGAAAAACTCTACTGGTATTTCAGTACCCTTCACCAAAAATCATCACTTCATCAGTACGTTAGACTATAAATCGGGTAGGGGATATATAAAACACAAAACAAGACTCACATTGTTTAAAATATACGTTGGGGTTGTCGTAGTACGACTGCGACCTGGCACAACGGCCTTTCTAATCTTCGCAGTGGCTCTCTCCAAAGCAGGTATGAGCCTACGTCTTATTCCTTTCAATGTATCTTTCGTGGCAATCCCTTTTGGAGTCAATCCTTCTATGGTTTGCGCATGAATATTCAGCTCTATATTTGTAAAGCTGTTTCCCATGGCATTGGCTCGTGCGGTTTGGTTACATGCAGGCCTGGGATTAGGTTATGCTCCTTGAGCAATCTTCTTCAAACTTTTCACATGCACCAAAACATTGTTGAATCCCTCCTCGCTCACTGATGCAATGGTAGAAATTTCAGTTAGATAATGACAGAGGATCCTGTGTCGTCGCCTAATTTCCAATTTAGGATCTGTAATAACATCGCTACCAAGTATGTCTTCCACCTTGCCGTTCTTGCCACTTTTGGTCCACCTTTTTAAAATAGAGTGGCTGGGTATTTCATTGGCATACATCACACCTTTAAGGACTTTCAGAGTGTGGCTACACATGATACCCTCCATTTCAAATTTTCCACATGAACATGATAATAAGTCGTCATCTGTCCTTGTGACGACCCGATGGAAGTTATCATTATAAATCGCAACTTCATATGAAAAAACCCCATTACCAAGGTCGTTGCACTTCTGGACATTTTCACTCATGCCAACTACTATTAACTGTTCCTGAAAAAGGTCAAAGATGTTAGTAGTGTACAGACATCTGACTTGATCTAAAATAGGAGACCTTGCTTTCAGCCTGGGCATCTTATGCAGCAAGTTATACTCAACTGCATACTCCTTGTATCGCTTGTCGAACAAAAGCGTTTCAAAATGCTTGAAAAACTCTGGCAGTGCATATTGTCTTGCTAAGTATTCTTTTAAGCGAGCATTGAAGCTCTCACTAAGCTGTGTGGTACGCATACCAGCCGACCACACATGTTTAACGTATGCCCTGGCCCATACATGTTTCAAACCAAATAAGTTGGCCAACCACTTGTTATTCTCTACAGCAAATTCCTTTTCCATCTACGCCCATTCCAGCAAGAATTCTTCCTCACCCTCAATCTCGTACATTAATTTTGATATCACACTTTTTATGACTTTCCCACCAACAGACAAATTCCCAAGATGCTTTTGGGCATTCTGCATTAGCTGCCATATACATAGAAGGTATTTTGTATCGAGCATGACCTGGACTAATGCCTTTGCCATTCCAGCGTCTTGGTCGATCAAGATCGTCCTTGGTGTTTTATGGGACATGGCATTCAAGAATGTATTGAATAACCAAACAAAAGAATCGGTTGTCTCATCATACATGAAAGCTACTCCAAACATAACTGTCTCCCAATGCTGGTTCAAACAGAGAAAAACTGCAAAAGGCCGATTCCCATGAACAAGTTTGTACATGGTATCAAATGTCAGCACATCTCCAAAATGCCCATAATCTGATATCATTTTTGAATCGGCCCAAAATATATTTGTTATCATTACACTGCTGTCCAATTGAACAGCATAGAAGAATGATGGATCTTCCAAACACTGTGTCTGGAAATAATTCATCAGCCAATTCGCATAACCAAGTTCAAGGTCGTTCTGTCTTCTCGTCCGAATATAATTTTGTACATCAACCTTCGTGAAGCTAATACTTTCTCTACCAACAGATTGCCTCGAACTTAACTCAAAGGCTTTACGAACTGGTATTCCACAATCGGCAGCCAACTCCACATCAATAGCTTGCACTGACTTTAACTTTTGCTGCCACGGCATCATGTGGGCACAATCCTCACTGATGAGGGGATGGTTGTGAGTATCTTTAAAATCTTTGACAATGTACTTACCAAATTCCATATTAAAGGCAATAAGCATGCGTGCATGACAATCGGTGCGTGTTTCAGCCCTTCGATTCTTTATTTTCCTGTCCCTCTTGTCCTCACCTCTTTTTCCCTTCTTGCAACACATAAAATTTCTAGATGTTAATTTTCCATCCTTCCGACTGTTGTTTTTGTACTTTCTCCGAATACTAAACCCACTCTGCCACCATATTCATTGTAAAAATCATAAGCCGCTTCTTCGGAATCAAACGGCATATCAACGCGGGGTATCTATTCTACTTCAGGAATTTCGCAAACTAAATCACTATCTGTCTCTTCAATGTTAATAATTGCCTCTCCAATAGCCATAACTATAATAGCAGACCTACAAAAACATGACAACAAAGTAAGTATATTTTAGCAGCACAACATTTATATGACATATGTCAACAGTTTCACAAATACAACATCACATCTTTCACCTAACATATCCACATCAAATTTACTTCCACACTAATATCATGCATTGCCATTCATGCATCCATTTTCTAACATGTGCCATAACAAATACATGCAACATACTAAAATTATACACTGCTGTAAAATACATAAATACAACATCACATCTTTCACCTAACATATCCACTGAAAATTTAATTCTACACTAGTATAATGCATTAACATTGAAACAATAACTTTCTAACATCTGGCATATGTTGCCGTAACAAATAAATTTAACACCATTCAAGTGTACACTAGATAAGCAAATAACTAGTTGCAAATATAATTTCATATTCACAGCACAACCTTTGTATAACATATGTCACCAGTTTCATAAGTACAACATCACATATTTAACATAACAAATCCACATAAAATTTAGTTGTACACTACTATAATGCATTAACATCCAGCCAAGAAATTTGTAACATGTGGCATATGTTGCCATAACAAATACATCTAACATAATTCAAGCTTAAATTAGATATGCAAACAATTGGTGACAAACATAATTTGACTTTCACAGCACAACTTTTTTTTAACATATGCCAATGGTTTCATAAATAGAACATCACATCTTTCAACTAACACATTCACATAAAATTTACTTCTACACTACTATGATGTTTTACCATTCATGCAACCATTTTCTAACATGTGCTATATGTTAACAGATCAAATTCATATAACAAACTTCAACTGTACATTACATGTCAAAACAAATGGTGTCAAACATAATTTCACTTTCTCACCACAACTTTTATATAACATATGTCAACAGGTTCAGAAATACAACATCACATATTTGACCTAACCTATCCATTAAAAATTTACTTCTACACTACTATAATGAATTACCATTAATGGAACTTTTTTTTTAACATGTGGCATATGTTACCATAACAAATACATCTAACATAATTCAAGCTTAAATTAGATATGCAAACAATTGGTGGCAAACATAATTTGACCTTCACAGCACAACTTTTTTATAACATATGCCAACAGTTTCATAAATAGAACAACACATCTTTCAGCTAACATATTCACATAAAATTTACTTCTACACTACTATAATGCTTTACCATTCATGTAACCATTTTCTAACATGTGCCATATGTTAACAGATTATATTCATATAACAAGCTTCAACTGTACATTAGATGTCAAAACAAATGGTGTCAAACATAATTTGACTTTCTCACCATAACTTTTATATAACATATGTCAACAGGTTCAGAGATACAACATCACATATTTGACCTAACATATCCATTAAAATTTACTTCTACACTACTATAATGGATTACCATTAATGCAACTCTAACATGTGGCATATGTTGCCATAACAAATACATCTAAAATAATTCAAGCTTAAATTAGATATACAAACAATTGATGACAAACATAATTTGACCTTTACATCACAACTTTTTTATAACATATGCCAACAATTTCATAAATAGAATATCACATATTTCAACTAACACATTCACATAAAATTTACTTCTAGACTACAATAATGCTTTACCATTCATGCAACCATTTTCTAACAAGTGCTATATGTTAACAGATCAAATTCATATAACTTTCTTCAACTGTACATTAGATATTAAAACAATTGGTGTCAAACATAATTTGACTTTCTCACCACAACTTCTATATAACAAATGTCAACAAGTTCATAAATACAGCATCACATATTTGATCTAACATATCCATTAAAAATTTACTTCTACACTACTATAATGAATTACCATTAATGCAACTTTTTCATAACATGTGGCGTCTGTTGCCGTAACAAATACATCTAACATAGATATGCAAACAATTTCTGGCAAACATAATTTTACCTTCACAACACAACTTCTTTATAACATATGTCAACAGTTTTATAAATACAACATCACATTTTTCACTTAACATCCACATAAAATTTACTTCTACACTACTACAATACTTTACCATTCATGCTACCATTTCCTAACATGTGCCATATGTTAACAGATCAAATACATCTCAAATACGGTAACTGTACACTATATATGAACATAGTTGGTGGCAAACCTAACATATGCACATATAATTGACTTCTACACTACTATAATGCATTACCATTAATGCAACCGTTTTATAACATGTGGCATATGTTGACCTTCACAACACAACTTTTCTATAGTATATGTTAACACTTTCATAAATACAACATAACATCTTTCAATATTTGGGATATACAAATACTATTCTATAATTTTATTCAAACTGAAAAATAATAAAGTTTAGGATTGGACAAGGCTAAAACAGATTAATATGGACATAACATTGGCACAAGAACAATCTTCAAAATGGTATATGCATATACAATCGTAAACTTCTATTATAACTGATCACTAATATAGTTCATCCACAAATAAAGTTATTTCACAAAGGTTAAAACAGATAAATATGGACATATAATAGGCAAAAGAACAAGCATCAAAATCTTGTATATGCATATACAATTTAAAATTTTCTTTGTTTAGTGATGACCAATAGAGTTCATTCAGAAAAAGAGAAAAAGGCTAAAAAATATAAATAGGAACATTAAATACGCACAACAACAAGCTTCCCAATTCTCGGGTTGCCTGAAAATAAGAAGCATTCATGCTCATTAGGACTAATAACCCAGCCTTCAAATTTTTGGATTACCAATAATCACTACCAGATTTCATATATCATTATGAATGAAGTTACAAAAAAATCAAAATAACGACCTAATACTTATAATGATCAGAGCTTCTAGCCAGACTGGTTGATCGGAGCTTCAGCTGATCACCGGAATGGATGATCGGACATTCACCTTGTCACCGGAATCCTTCACCTTCTTGCCGGAATGGATGATCGCAGCTTCAGTATCTAGTCGGAAGATAGATTAAGAAGTTCAGCTTGTCGCCGAAATGTATGGCGATTTTTCCCAACCGAGGTTCTCAACTGGGTCTTTCTTTTCAAAAACTTTATGTGCCTGACCTTCTCTTCATAAATCTTCATCTTTATGTGCTGGTTTACAGAGCAGAGGCTTTGATTTTATGTGTTAGTTTACAGAGCAGAGGCATCGCGTCTTCATTTTCGGTTTATAGATCAGAGCAGAGAAACATCACATATCAGAGGCATATATCTGTATATATATATCAGATTAGTTTTGGCTCCAACCTTAATTTTGGTTTTGGGGGGAATTTTGAGTTGAAAATGAAATACAGAAAGGGAAGGTATATTGAAAACGTATAAGCAAAATATAATGAGTATAAGCAAAGTAAAACGTATAAGCAGGTATCCGGAAAACTACAGTGCTTCTCTCTTTTACCTGCCTTGCCACCTCAGCCGTGGGTCCCACAACTGGACCGATTCCAGTGACAAACGACTGGAGACGATTTTTATCCAATTGGAAATGGGTTTCCGAGTTTTTGGCTCGAATTTGAAGTAAAAAAAAAAAAAAAAAAAAAAAAAAAAAAACTGAGTAAATTACACTCCTTGGTTTGTCATAAATACGGTAGGCATATTTTGAACAATCAGTGTCAGACTTTAATTCAAACGAACTCTAAAAAGTTATGAAAAGTCAATATTGCCCTTTTATATTTTATCAATTTTGGTTGTAAAAAAACAAAACTCTTAAAAGACCAATTGGCCTTCAGTGTGACGATAAACTCTAGCCACATATATTACCACACCACCCCCAAT